ATCTGTTGCCAAGACATTGGAACGTGCTGTCCTATAAGTCACATCTTCTAGACCCATCAGAAATTGATGGACCTTTTCTTCTTCTCTCTGCTTTTCAAACAGGAAACTGAGGTTACACTTGCATCCTCCACACGTACACCTTGGAATCTTTTCATAATTCCCTAACTCATCCCACAACATCTTCAATTTTCCATAGTATGCCACCATGGTCATCCCCTGTTGCTTGCATTCAGCCTTCAACTGCTGAATTCTTGGTCTATTGGTCACCGAAAAACGTTCTTTAATTTCTTCCCACATATCCTTTGCATTCTCCGCATAGGCCATGGTGGAACGCAAGCTTGGTTCGATGGTATTCAGAATCCAAGACACAATCATGGACTGGACAGTCCACCAGTCTTCTTCCTCCAGTGCATCTTTCGGTGGTTCTTTGTGTGCTCCATCTATGAATCCCCACTTCTTTCGTGCCCTTAGTGATATCTTCACAGATCTAGCCCATTCTTCATAGTTTTCACCTCGAAATTGCACTTGTGTGATCACGTTCCCAGGATTGTCACTTGCACTCAGCTCATAGGGGGATGAAGTTTTCTTGGCCACATTCCCTTGAGTTTTATTGGTTTCTTCATCGGGTATTTCTCCTTCAACTCCTGCCATTTTGCAGTAAAAGTTTAGCCCTTATATGATTCAATATCAGAGCTCGGGCAGCTCTGATACCATGATAAAACGAATATTTGTGTGAGATAATTTTCTGTCTTATTCCATCTCAAAGCCTTTACATATATACACTTTCAGGCCAATGGCCAGCCTTAATTGAGGCAACAGAATATCTCAACATTACGCTGGACTATTCCCTAAATAAAACATATCAAACCAATCATTTCCTAATATAAAGATATTGACAGCAAAATAACTAACAATACAAAGGTAACAAAATCTGCTAGATACAATGCAGATATAGGTATATTGTTTTAGTTTGTGAAACACAAGATTTTTAGCAATGTGAAGTGCAGCCTAACTGTCACAGTGAAGCTGTATTGGTTGAGTATAAGAGACACCAAGGATAGAGAGAAGACCTTTGAGCAATTTTAGTTTCACAAGTGATGGTAGCTATAGACCGATACTCAACTTCAGCGGAAGAGCGAGAGACAATGTGTTGTTTCTTAGTTTTCCATAAGATGGGTGAGTGACCAAGAAGAATAAACCACCTGTAAGTGATCGCCGAGTCAAGAGACAGGTAGCCCAATCTGAGTCACACCATCCATAAAGTTACAAAGGATTATCCCCGCCGCAACAAAATGCCTTGCCCAGGATTGCCTTTCAGATATCACACCACACACAAAGTAGACTCCCAGTGTGCTTGTTTTGACTGCTGCATGAATTGAGAAACGATGTGAACACAATATGACAATTCTAGTCTTGTGAAGCACAAGTAGATAATGCAACCAACCAAGCATCTATACCTCTCAGGTTGAGGAAGGCTTCTCCAGAAGCAAGAGCTAATCAGTGGTTCTGCTCAAGAGGTGTAATGGCACGTTTAGAACCTAAAAGTTCAACTTCAGAAATGATGTTCAAAGCATACTTCTGTTGACAAAGAAAAATTCCTGTGGGTGATTTGACAACTTCAACTCCAAGAAAATATTTCAAAGTCCCTAAATCCTTCATATGGAAACAAGTGTGCAAGTAGGCTTTGAATGCTAAAATAGTAGCATGATTATTTCCTGAAATAATAAGATCATCAACATACATTAGAACCACAAAAGAGATATCCCGTCGTTGCAACACAAATAAAGAATAATCATGTGGCGATTGTTTGAATCCATATGCTTTGAGTGCAGCGTATAACTTGGCAAACCAACACCTTGGGGCTTGTTTAAGCCCATACAAACATTTATGAAGTTGACACACCATCCCAGGATGCATGGTATGAAAACCAAGCGGTGGCTTCATAAAAACTTTCTCTTAAAGATCCCCGTGAAGAAAGGCATTATGAACACCCATCTGATACAATTCCCAATTCTTTGTTGCTACTACTGCTAATACAGTTCGCACAGTCACCATTTTGGCGACAGGGGCAAATGTCTTATAATAATCGACCCCTTCAACTTGATGATTACTAAGAATTACCAAGCGCACTTTAAACCTCTCAACTGTCCCATCAGATTTATGTTTAATTTTGTATATCCATTTACATCTAAATGCCTTCTTCCCTAGAGGTAAATGGGTAATGGTCCATGTTCCATACTTCTCAAGCACTTGAATCTCACTTTTCATTGCTTTTCTCCATTTAAGATCTTTTACTGTCTCAGCATAATTTGCAGGTTCTCTATCCTAATCAAGACCTGCAAGAAAAGCACGATGTGCTAAGAAAAATTTCTCAAAGTGAACATAATATTCATATATTTATGTTCATCAATGCTAGTGAAAAAGTGAGTGGATGATGATGTCTAGGAGCCAATTGAGGCATTCTATACCATGCCCAAGCATGCAGAAGAGGTAAATAATTTACAATCTTGATAACATTATATTTCACCACGCGACAAAGCTCACGATAAATGACAAACCTCCAACTATATATTGCAATCCCATTAAAATCAGTAAGAAGAGAGGACTACTTCATATGAACCCTAAATCTTAATTTGTCTGGCAACAAGACCTAACCAAATATAACTATTATGTATGTTTTAGTGTAACAGATAATAGTCTGCTTGTCAGTATTGTGTACAAATTTCTCACCCGAAACTGCTCCAAGTAAATTTGTACACAATGGTCATATATCCCGATAATAAAATTTCTCCACACTTCCTACCCACTTCTAGAGAACTCATCCACACACAAACCTAGTTGAAATAAAACATCTTCCAATATGATCATTCGTTCTCCAAATGGAAGATAGAATGTGTGTAACTCAAGACTCCAACACTCTACAAGTCCAATCATTAGTGTCCTATCATAATTGAACATTAGGACTATCTACTCAACACGCCAACAATTAATCTACCTGACAAATAATTCCATTCTCAATTTGGAGTGACCATCATATTACAGTGTCTACTTTTAAAATTCAAGTATTATATATGATATAAAATATTATATATCAAATATATGTAATTATTATAAACTAAATATAAAAAATAAAAATTACACCAAAATATTGTTTAAAATTTTTTTTATATATAATATTTTATTTAAATAAATACATTACAACAAAATTACACTTAAATTAACGACCTCAGAATAATTTAACAAAAACTAGAATTAAATTTATTAAATTTTTATAAGCTAAGCTAAAATTATATAAAACAAACCATACATCAAACAACATACTAAAATAACATAATCATAATGTATAAAGTTTTATTATAACAAATAAATAAATAAATTACTACAATACCAAATTAAATTAAAAATCTCTTAAAATAAATTTAATACTCATTAAATTTAAATTTATTAAAATTTACTAAGTTACAATTAAATATTCACTTAACTAAAACTAGAATTATTTAATTTATTTCAACAAATAGTAAATTATATAAAAAATTATTATTATTTGATACACTAGTGTAAAATTTTATTCTACTTACTATTATTAAATTGAACTAATTATATGAATTACAATATTTTTTTTATAAGCAAATTAAAACAATTTCAGTATACTTATTACTTTTTGTCAAATCACGCTAGTAATATATGCTACATAATTCTAAAACTACAATAAAATTAAATAGTACACATATATTACCAAAAAAAAATATTTAATAGATAATTAATTAAATATACAAATAATTAAATTAAAGTTTATAAATCTTTCTAAACATACTAAAAATTTAATGATACATTAGATTAAATGATAAAATAAAATACAATAAAAAATTTAAAACAACAAAAAGTTACCAAGCAATTTACTTGCAATGTTAATCACATTATAGCACTTCTTTTTTTACCCCTTTGTTTAAAAGAAATCCACTCCACTTCTTCTTTTATTTTTCGCTTTGCATATGTTTGCACAAAGTCACTCTTAAAGTGTGTTTTTCTTAAGTAATAAGAATAATAAATATGTTACAAGTAGATTAAACTCAAGTTTTGATCCCCTCAAAAGTTGATTACGATAGACTTTTTTTCTTATGTAATAAAATCAATTATAATTAACTTTTCACACACATGCTTATATACACTAAAGTCGTTTATGATTGACTTTTTTCATGGCTAATAACATGCATAGGAGCATCAATGAAGCGTCATAGTTGGACTCGTTTGCACAAAAGACGATTTTAGTCAACTTATGCTATATCTAAATAAAAATTTATGTAATTGAATTGACTTTTGAAAATATATATAATATATAATTTCTTTTTAGAAGGATCTTCTTATTCTAATGTAAGTCTAAAAACTCTTGCATATAATCAAAACATTTTATTTAACTTAAATTTAATGGCCAGTAAAGTAATAAATTATAACCTATTATATTTAAGTTAAATAAAATGCTCAAATTGAGTGTAAGAGTTTTTAGATTTATATTAGTGTAAGAAAATTTGTTCCAAGTTTTTTATTTATGTAAAAAAGTCTTACATGTAATACTTTTTATTTTAATTTTTATAATTATATTTTTAATATAAAAATTAAATTAAAAAATATATCATGTACAAGCACGATTGTTAGAAGAAAAAAAAAGTATCATGCATAAGAATGAATATAAACGTATTTAAATATAGGATAACATCTTATAGCATAAGTTATTTAAATCATAATTTTATTTCCAAAATATTGAAGTGTATACAGAATAACATGTCTTTGGTCAGACGTTTGGGATTATTCTTTGCTTCATTTCATGCATGAGAAGAATGACGAGAAGAAGAAAAGAATTGAAGTTACAGAAAAAGCTTATCATTATTATTATTATTATTATTATTATTATTATTATATATGTATCTTTGGTAGTTTTCACATACATGAAGCAGTCGTAGATTTGCCTATTTTCTTGCAAAATGTTCGAACTACCTTTCAAAATGGCACGCTTTCCCTTTGCGGAGAACCTGAGCCCGGGATTGTTAGGTGGCGCTGTTGCTCTTGTAGCCGTTGGCCTCACCGCTGCTTATTTTTGCCTTCGCATGAAAAACACCAAAGGTATTTCACATTTCACTGCTTCTACGTTTTATTTGTATCTTTTTGAGTTATTTCAAATAAATCTTCTGTTTTTAAGATTGGTAAGCTATTTTTTTTTCTTTCAACTTAAAATAATAATTATAAACGCAATTTAATTTATAAACACTCCAATAGTGATTAATATTTATTCAATAAATCTCATCTCTCTCAATCTTTTTCCTCCTGTCCATTTACATCATTGCTTACATTTATCACTTCTTTTTATTTTATTGTTATATTTCTCAATGTATAAACATACATTGAAGTGTCTTAAAAAAGCATAACTTTAATAAAAAAATATAAATAAAAATTTTTATTTTCAATTTTTTCCCGTGCTTAGAAATAATGGTTTTTGATAATAATTAATCCCTAGAAATTAAAACCAACTTTGGCACAATACCTATAGTTGTGATCCTGCAACTAGTAATTTCAATATTTATTCTTCAATTTTAAACAACTTCATCATATACCGTTAGTGATTGTTGCTTCCAACTAATAAAGTTTTTTATTTTCTTAACAGTGTTATAAATCTCAAATCTTTACACCGACACTAAGAAATTAATAATAATAAGATTTTATTAAAAAATAGTTTTATTTTATTTTTGTATCTTTAATGTAATAAATATTTTATCATTAAAAAAGTATTACTTTTAGATATTTAAAATCAGCAATAAAGTTAAACAAACTTATTTTTTTATTAATATATGCAATAATAATAAACGTAAGCAATACATTGTTTTAAATATATTGTTTATGCATAAGAAATTGTACGAAAGAGTGTATTATTGACATTCTTTTGTAATATAAGAGTGTATTATTAATTAAGAACGAAAAAAATTGTAACTAAGAGAGCCTTGAATTTTTATTTTTAATTTTTTTTTGTAATTTAAATCCAACATTATCATGTTGAGGTCTAAGTGTTGACAAACATCTGTTCGAGCGATAGAGATAAAATGGTACTTGTCAAATCCAAAGGGCGATTATTTTGGGATAAGAGATCCATTTTAAGTGAGCTTATTTATACTTTATTCTCCATAACTCATAACTAGCTCTTGCTTTCTTCCACGCGCAGCAATAGCAAAATAGAATTCAGACAAGTTGCCAAAAACTATTTCCTTAACCCAACATTAGTCTTAGTTGTTGACTAGTTTTTGAACAAAAAATGAAGAACAACTAGTTTGAAACATCACCTTTTATTTCAATTTGGTATTGTTACTCTTGTCTCTCATTATCTCTTTCTCAAGCAACATCCCAAGAAGTGTATTATTTTTTCTTTCTCAACCTCCTAAGTGTGATACTCCAAGCTTAACATGCACACAATCATAACAAGCTAACATTTGGGTTATATTTATACCATGGTTTACATAGTTGTATCCAATAAACAATGATGATTTGTTAATATTCAAGCACAAAAGGGTTTATAGTTTCTATCATTTAGATCAATGAAACGGCAAAGATGAAGATGTAGTAATAAACGATAAAAAGTAATAAATAAATATGGCTGTATTTGCTTATATGCTGGAGTTTATCAAAGAACAAAGCAACTTATTGAAGTTTTGAACGGAAGGTGCCCCAATTTTACAATGTCATCAGACTCGTCTTTGCAAAGAAATTTAATATCAAAATGACAAAATTTTCAGGATGCTTGGACCCCAAAAATTTCAAAGAATTTAAACTTATAAAGAAGACTCAGCTCAGCCACAACGTTGCAAGATTCAGATTCGCCCTTCCTACTCCTTCTTCGGTATTGGGCCTTCCAGTTGGAAAAAACATACTTGCTAGGTTTGCAAAAGATTTAACTTACATCCGATGACTATTGTGAAGTAATAAATTATAATCGGTTAAATTTAAATTAAATAAAAAATTTAAATAAATGTAAGAATTTTTAGATTTATATTAATATAAAAAGATATTGTTTTATATATATATGTTTATGAAAATTTGTTATTATATATAAATTTAAACACTTAATAATTTTATATAAAATTTATCAATTTAACTTCCAGTTGAAAGATTCTATTAAGTAAATCAATTTTACAAAACTTCATTAAAAAATAAAATTAATAAATATTTTATCACATTATTTTTTACAAGTAATATATTTTTAAAACATAAGAACATAACAAATTTTAGATAATATATTTTAAAATATCTAAATTATATAAAATTTAATTTACATAATCATAAAAATAATATAAGATTTTCAACAACTATTAATTTTATCTTTTATAAAAAAGCTATTATATAAATTAAGTGTTTAAATTTGACTCTCTGTCAAGAAATCCTAATCGCTCTAAGTTTATATACATATTGGGTAAAACTGTTCTAATTAACTATTAAGCAGGGGGAAAGACAGCCAAGGAGAGGAAGTTATGAGATCATATACCCCAATCACATTGGATTCAGATATTGGCTACTTCGAATTGGTTGTGAAGGTACAATTTTTGTGGAAAATTTTTGCAAAAGGATACATGAATTTACCTTTTCCATATAAATTTAGGTGGATTTTAGCATGGGAAAATGTTCAATCCTCCTCATGTGTGGAAGTAAGAACGATTTCTTTTTACTCTTATGATTAGTGAAATTGCATGAGTCCTTTTCTTTGAACTGTCTCCGGCACCTCAACCACTCCTTGCTCCACAGGAAGAACCATAACCTCAGTCAAGACTTCCCTAACGATTACGAAACCTAGAAACCATCAACCATGGTCTCTCTTTGTTTTCACCATCTTCTCCACTCCTCGTAAAGCTTCTCAATAGAACTACAAATAATATCTTACCTCAAGCTTCTTAAGGTTGTCACACCCAGACAACGTGTGATGGTCTCCAGCCCAAAACATCTCTAGCTTCTTACCATGCCTCCCAATCCCACTTTTCTCCTAAACACGATCACTATGAAGTCTAAAATGCAGAGGCACCGCACATCCTTGCAACGATAACCAATCTAGCAAATGGGAAATAGGATTTGAGACATTTAAGGTTGTGTTTAGCTACATTGCATGTATTTATTTAGACAGTAAAGGAATGTATTTTTAAAAATAAAAATATTTTTATATTAAATAAAAATAATTTTAAATGACTTGTTTTTTTAAAAATTTTAAAATATCTTTATTGTTTCTGACATTATATGTTTATTATTCATAACCTTTTTTATACTTGATTTTCATTTTAAGCATATATATCTCTTATTATTAATTTTATATTTTTAAAATTTTCTGTTAAAACTAAAGTAAGAAAATAGAAAAGATCATTAGTCAAGGATCATTTAGTTATAGACATCGACGGTGATGAAGACCATTTTGGCACCAAATTTTAGGGTAGTCTTATTGGGTGATAATGAAGGACATGTGAGAGGACAAGAGCAAGATTGTGAAAGCAGCAACCCAATTAGATGTGGATTGATTTGCAAAATTGCAAGTATTTATAGACGGTCCAATCATCTATACTGTTAAATTATTTATGTATATATCTTAAACTAGCACTGGTGTAGAAGTTTGAACATGGTCCATGTTAGAAGAAACCATAAATTTATTGTTAACCTATGATAACAACCATGTATATATATATATATATATATATATATATACACACACACGGAGGGTTTTATCACAAATTCATTGATTTTTTATAATTTATTATTATCTCTTTTAAAACATGAATTGAAGGTAAATTTTTTTTATTTCACAGAAAGTCATGTTGGATTATGAATATATATATATAAACAGATAGAGAACTAGACTAATTTCATTTTCAAAAATTATATCATAATGTAAATGGAAAAAACTAATACCAAACTTATACAAAAAATACAGGAGAAATAAAAAAATGCAAGGTTGAATGTAGAACTAAATAAATGGATTTTATTTTCTATTTCTAGAAGAAACAAATATATGTATGATAATACACCTTTTTTTTATTCTTAGTATTCCTCTATTATTATCTTATTACTTTGATATTGTGTCTTCTAATTTTTTATTTTTGTCTCAAAATTTGTGTTTAATATATATATATATATCATATGTTTTTTTGCATGCAGATGTACCCAAATGGAAAGATGTCCCATCATTTTAGACAAATGAAAGAAGGTGATTACCTGGCCGTGAGGGGCCCTAAGGTACTACTGTCCTTAATTAGGCAAAATACAAATTAATTGAAAAAAATTATAATTAATTCCCAAAAATGAAATTAAAGCTCTAAAGTGCTTTGTTTTTAAATATTTGATAGTCTGAAAAGCATAAAAGGAATATAAGTGTAATGGACATGCTTGCAACTTTGTAGGGACGTTTTAGCTACAAACCAGGCCAAGTTAGGGCATTTGGAATGCTTGCTGGAGGTTCAGGCATAACTCCAATGTTTCAGGTAAATATATACATACTTTTAGGAACTCCAAAAGAAGGACAGTTTATTGTTCATATTCAAGGCATTTGAAGGAATTTTTAATTTATCTAAACTTATTTCATCATATTAAAAAATATTTATGTTAAAAATTAAAAATACTTTTGATCAAGTTTACTAAATTGACTGATGATTCATTTATAAATATTTGTTTAGCTTATTTACAAAGTTCTATTATAAGACTTATCATAATAAGTTTACTGAATTAAGTGTTTAAAATATAAACTTCCATGGAATAAGTATTTAATTAAGTCATTTAATGGTTTATGATTATCACATAATCTCCTGATTGATTGGAAGTAAATGTGGAAATGAGTTTATATATGTTGCCTTGCAGCTTATAAGAGCCATACTAGAAAACCCCAAAGACAAAACAAAGCTACACCTCATTTATGCTAATGTAACAGAAGATGACATTCTTTTAAAGGTAAACTCTCTACTTAGAATCTCATGCTGAGTAAAGTAAGAAACTTAATATGATACTTAAATCATGAGACTCTTCTGCAATGCTATTTTTCTTTCTTTTTCTACACAGATTTTATATAGCAATTCCAATTCCCATTAGGGATCTATAATCGGTATATTCAACTACCCGATTTTAAATTACAGAGATGGATCATTGAATTCAAAACATTGTGGCCAAAAAGTAATTTTGATCCAACTATTGCTTAAGAGAATTAAATTGATAGTAAGTTACGTCTACAACACGAGATTAAAGTCCTGTTGGGATAAGCTTGTGTATGAATTTTTATAAAAAAAAAATATAAAAATTAATAAAATTATTCCCATAAATTAAAATTAACTTATACTTTTCTAATTTTTAGAAACTAATTTTATTTAACTTCTCTAAAATTTAAAAAGATAAGTTATTTTTAATTTGTGAGAAAAATTGTATTTATTTTTTACATTATTTTTTCTTTAATAAGGATTTATTCATAAGTTTACCCAATCATAATCTAATTAGATTTTATAGAAGTTTCTTGTACCTACAATCTCTTTTGGTAACATCAATAATTAATAGTAAGTTGTTTTCTTAAGAATAAGTAATGGAATCAGACTAATTGTCTCTTATTCTTGTTTGGAAATGTTCTGCCAATTTTTATAATAATAAGAAAATGACATTGAAAAGTAAGAGTATAGAAAAAAGAATCAGACAAAATCATTTTGAATTTAAAGGTAATTATTGAATCCACTTGATCTGGGTGTGATATGTTTGTGTGCAGGAAGAACTAGAAAACTTTGCGAACAAATTTCCTCACAGATTCGAAGTCTATCATGTTCTTAATAAGGTTAGTTGCTTGTAGGATTCTTGTAATATGCATACTTTTCTGTCATTAGTTTAAATATATTTCTTCTTATATAAATACACATGATTTAAAATTAATTAAATGGCCTTAAACTAAAATTAAAATAGAAACTATAATTCATGTTAGGTGCTTATTACATTAGCTACTAAATTTAAAAAAATATCGAATACTTTTTTAAATTATATTAAGATATTAAAAGATATTTATATATATATTTTAAATAAATCATTAACTCTGCTGTTAAAATTATTTCACGTAGAATTTACCTTTTATTGTGAAGTGATGAAATTAAATATTTGATATTTTCAATAATTTGCAGCCTCCTAATGAATGGAATGGTGGCGTTGGGTATGTGTCGAAGGAGATGATTAAATCCCATTGTCCATCACCATCCCCAGATATTCAGGTTGAATTGATTACCAAATGAAAAGATTAAGTGGTCAGATTATATTATTGAAAAGCTTATATTAAAAGAAAAATGATATGATTTTCCAGATACTAAGGTGCGGTCCACCACCAATGAATAAAGCCATGGCTGCTCACCTTGACGCACTGGGCTACACATCACAGATGCAGTTCGAGTTCTAACGCTTCAATTGAGTTCCTTTAATTTCTTCCAACACTTTCTATTGCTTTGTATCGTACATTTGTGTGTTAAGCAAAATTCATCATATGATTCATTTCACACACAAAATAGAGCAATTAAAGGATATGTTTGAACGTAAGGAAATTAAAGGGCAGGGAAGAATGGGCTAAGAAATTTAATAATTAATTTCTTAGTTTGGATGGGGGTAGTATAATTTTTTTTTATTTTAAAAATATTAAATAGTATAATAAATTATAAAGAATAATTTTTTAATTAATTTATATTTTTATAAATATTTTTAATATAATTTTTTTTTCATTTTTTTACTTGTTCAAACAAATAGAAATATTGTTTTATCATTTCTTATCTTCTTATTTTAACGTATCTAAACAGTAAATATTTATTATTTTTTCACTTTATTTCTCATTCTATTTTTTTTCCATTTCTTTATTCTTTATTTCATCCCGACGGCATCCAAACATATGACCGTATTATAAAATTGTTATTATTTTTAATCTATTTTTTATTTTTAAATATTTATATACAAAATAAAAACAACAATAAAATTTTTATTTATACATAAATAATTAAAAATAATAAATAAAGTAAAGCAAATTTTATAATTAAAAGTAAAAAATAATTTATTTTTTTTTTATGTTAGAGTTTCATTTCTTGTGCCAAATAGGAAAGTTTGCCTAATACATGATTAAAACGATTCTTCTAATGCACCTTCTTTGTCTACCACCGAGCAATATAGTTTCCTTTGATTTGTTTTTAGGGCACCGTAAACTAAATTATATAACTTAATCAATGAAAATAATTAAAGTTAATTATTTTTTAACTTTTTCTATATTATAATATAATAATTTTATTTTTTATTTAATATTATTAAACTTAATATCAATACTTACTTTTGTTAGTTGTATTTTATGTTCTCACAAACTTTATTTAATAATAATAAAAAAATAATGCTTCATAAAAATTATAAAATATCATGTAAAAAATATATAAAAAAATATGTTTTACCTTAGTATGGTAACTTTTTAAATATGTTTGTAGTTCATTTCTAAATTCAATCATTATTTTATCTATTAAGAGTTCATTTAGAAGAGTTTTAAGTTTTTATTTTTAAATATCAATTTTAAACAAAACACACTTAATTAAGATGGAGTTGAATTGATTTTTAATTGAGTTTTAAACCAATTTAAATCAATTTTTTAAACAAAAAGATATTTTAGATTAAAGTTTTTAATTATACAAAGAACTCATTTAATCTTTATTTTTTTTAAGAGACCTAAATATTATTTTCACTATCATTGTTATCATCTTTCATTAACATTATTATCACCGTCACTATTATTACTTACTAATTATCTTTATTGTTGTTACTACCAATATCACTTTCATAATTGTCACAATTAGAACCATCATTACTATTACTATTATTATTATTATTGCTACTTCTATAATCTCTACCATCACCTTCATTTATATCACTACCATCGATGACTCCTGCAACCATGACCACCATCACATTGTTACTGTCGCTCTCATTGATGTAGACATAACTTTCACTATTATTTATTGTTATCATTATTGTTACTATCATAACTATTACTTTTAATTTTTTTCCTTAGTCACTAATTACCTGCTACCATCATTGTACTATTATCATTGATATTGCAATCTACCATCTTCATTGGCACCAGCTCCACTAATTTATACCACCATCATAGTCATTTCCACCATGATCATTCACTACCAACACAATTTTACTACCATCATCTTTATCATTACTTTCACCATAGATGCTACCATAACAATCATCAACATAAATGTCATTGTTATAGTTATTGCAATTATAGTCGCTATCTTTACTATTTCTTCCTTAATTATTTTAACTACTTATCATCATTATTGTCGTTATCACCTCTTTAATTGTTATTTTTGTCATCACTACCATCATTATTGTCACTATCACTACACATGAACATCAATCACTACTATTATTATTGCACTATTACCTCCCCATTCCCCATTGATATTACCATCACCATTGTAACTATCACAATCACCATTTATTACCAACACTACGATCATCTTCTACCACTATCATCTTAATTATTTAATAATACCATTATTATTACTAGTCACTTTCTCTCTAACAAATAAATTTAACTATGTAATAAATGAATTATATGTAACAAATGAAAAATCACACTTTATAACATATCATGAATCTCTAAAACCTCTTTCATAAGCAACATTTTATTTTTTGTTTTGGTCTCTATTCATAGCATTTTATTATTATTATTATTTCTATATATAGCATATTCTTTTATTTTTATCCCTTGAATTTAATTTTTTTTCATATAAGGACTGAAATAAAAATTATTTTATATATAAAGATTGTACTAAACAAAAGTATCATATATAGAAGCAAAATTTTTTTTAAAAAAAATGTTTAAATGTAAAGTAATGTTATACGAAAGTTTACAACAAAATTTATTTAAATTTTTTTATTTAGTACTTGCTTCCAATTTTTTTATATATAAGGATCAAATTAGAAATAAGTTTCATATAAAGATCAAAATAAATTTAATCCTAAATAAAAGAAGCTTGTGATGTTTTTCCTTTATATGATTTCTTGCTGATATAACTCTTGTATTCACCTATCTCACACGTCAACTAATCCAGGCCTAATTGTTTCATATAAAAAGTCATGTTAAGAAATGGTTGACACCTAAAAGTATAATGTATGAAAAATATTAAAATTCAATTGAATTTTATATGGTAAATCTAACAAGTATGATTAGTGAATTAACTTTAAATTAATATATAAAAGAATACAAAATATCATCTAATAAAGAAAAGCTAAGCACAGTGATAAGTCTGTGAACTGTTTGTATAAATAAGATGTGATTGTTCTCACCTACTAATAGTCCAAAAAAAAATTACTTGACAAGTTTAATTGTTGACAAAAAAAAATGGGATCCTTCTCGTAGAACAAAAGAAAAATATTTCTTCTTTGGTAAAAACAATAAGTGCCTATTTGGTTATTCCTTGTGCTAAACACATTTTTGGCAAAAATAAAACAAAAGAAAAAGTTCAAAAATAGTAGCACTACTCTAGTCAAAAGAATTTTCAAAAGTAGTGCCCAACGGTTATGTAACTGTCTTTGACATTACATCTTTGAGACATTTCTTTGGGGTATATAACACTATAAAAAGGAGACATCAAAGCATTTTTTTTGTTATCACTAAGCCTTCTTAAAAATATTCAAATAACCTATATTTTTATCCTTGTAATCCTTAAGAGTATAGCTTGAAGAGGTTTTAGTAGAATATTTAGGTTTAAACCTAAAAGAGTTATGCAAATATACTTAAAAAGTGAAACAATGTGTGTTGTTAAGTATATAATCTATTACTTGAAACTGAGAGTTGTTAAACAATGTCGTGTTTCTGTTTTCACTTTCAGTTTTCTATTATACAATTGGAGGTTCAAACATATTGGAACTCATCATATCAGAATACAATTTGTGTTTTTGTATTCAAGGTTCACGTTGAGGGACTGATCATGATCGATTTTAAGGGTATCTTTCCTTCTTGTAATGACTTGGGCACTGCTTGTCGGCAGGTTCCGTTTGGTTTATAAACAGAACGAGCTCTTCATCTTCTAAGCCCAGTTGAAGCTTTTAAATAAAATTTTAAAGAAAGTCAAAAAGTTCTTATAAAAAAAAATTAATATATGAATGATAAAAAAAAATTCTCTCATAACTTAAAAATAACTCATTTTCTTAAATTTTAAAGAAATTAAATAAAATGTTATAAAAAATAAAGAAATGTATATTATTTTTAATTTATGAAAAAGAATTCATCCTATAAGTACTTACTTATCTTTAATCTACTTTATCTATTCATTAATTTGATCATAAGTTAATTTCTTTTTGCAAACATTTAAAGGATGGTTGGTTTCTTTTTTAAAAATAAAATATAGTACAAATTTTTATTTTATTTTATTTTTGAAAATAGAAATGTTTTTTTAAAAAAATTCAAACATGCTCTTAATGTCAAATATATTTTTAATCACCAAAGATAGATTTTAATTTTTTTCATTTAATTTAAAAATTTTATTAAAAATAAATTAATATAATCTTTTTAATTGTCAATACCATAGTAGTCAAAAACGGATAGCACTGAGAGTTCAACAATAGATTTTGAATGATACAATAACATGCAGAAATTGAAAATGTAAATGGAGAGCAAAATCTCAAAATTGCCCCCAAAAAGTCATATAATATTAAGAAAACAAGGATAAAATTGACATTTTTGTTGTACATCAAATGGCAGCCGCGATTCGGACCGCTCCTACCGCTACACTGAATTGCAACGCTATGTACTGGAACGGCGGCAGGGAACCGCTCCGCTACATTGCGATAACAGCCATTATTAACGACTATGGGACTCAGCAAGTTTTGAAAACAAATTTACTAAACAAGTTTTCTTTTTCATTTTCACATTTCTAAAACAATTTTCAAAACAATACCTAACAGATTTAAATTTTTCCTCATAAAACAGATTTTTTAAAATTAATTTATAAGATAGTTTTCAAATACCGTGAAACAAGCCAGCCTCATAAAAACTGCTTTTCCGAAATATTCTTCATTAAAGAGACCCACCTTTTTTAAAACCTTTTTTTATTATTATTTCTGTTTAAACAAGTTTCTCCTTTAAAGAAGTTAAAAATAAATCAAATCAAACACTACCTGAGTATCTACATTCCTTCTACATAATTATACATTCAACTTTACAATTATCTTTTAAAAAAAATAAAAAATTGTCCGGACACCTAACTTTTCGTATAGATTGTCTATCATCATATCTCCCGCTAGTCTCGTTGTAACAAGATAACTCAGACATATCTTTTAGCATAAAATGGACCTGAAACACATTATGGAATTTTTTAAATCATTAGCTACCAAACCAGCAATGAGTTATCAAATACCTTTTGGTCATCAGCTTCTTTAAAAGTATTTTATGATACAACAAACATAATTAAAGAGTAATAAATTATTACAGCTCATGTTGAGCATCGGTATCTCCAAAATAGGGATGGATAGCAGAGTATCCTTGATATCATGGTTATTATCATGTATCGTCCACCAAGGAGCACTAGAGTAACAATAGGTTTTGGAATGAGGTGACATGCTATTTACAAGTTGTGCAGTGAGATCTTTTCAATTACTATAATCCTTCTACATAATTATTCTGTTAAATATCCTCTACAATGAAAAATGCAAATTGATTGAACCACATTAAATGTGTGTGTTCGTGTACATTTTCCCCCTCCTGCTTAACATCATCTGATCAAGCTAAAATTTATGCATACCTTGAATTATTGAACAAGCTTGGAACTCTAACCAGCAGTATGGTTAGCCATTAGTCCATACCCACGAGGCATAAATTCCCTGATCTTTTACTCTGCATAAATGGCAGTATGCAACATGTTAGAAATAAACAACTAATGCTTATGGAATCAATCAATGAACAAAATCATATTTTATCATTAAAACATCATACTAGAAACCAATGAGCTATAGGAACAGGGGTAGTTATTATTAATTCTTGAGCAGCTACAACAAAGCAGAAAGTTAGACAGCAAGGCCATTGATATTAATTTCAAGGGTGAAACATCAATTTTCAAAATAAAAAAATAACATACACTACATATCTATATATTTAATGTAGGAAGACTTAATTATTTTAGCATATTATCTAAAAGTAATTTTTCTAATCTTCAAACATTGAAACTACAAAAAGGATGGGAGAAAAGTGAATAAATCTTTAATGTGAATGAATTTAATGATTGTAAAAAATAATAATTCGAAAGGAAAAACAGAGCATTGGAAAAGATAAAACAAAACAGTAAGGACGTGTGGTCAAGGAATGCATAGCAAACATCAAATAATGTAGCCTTTGTACTTGAGCTCAAAGTGGAACAGACTTGACCCGAATATCAATAAATCAAAACTAAAAAGTAAGCAAAGAAAGTTTACTTACAAAGATATATCATCTCGATCAATTTCAGGGAACAAGTTAATATAAAATCGAAATCCATCAGGGCTTATATCTCTGCATAGTAAACCTGGGAAATATTCCAAAAATATCAAAACTCAGTTACGTTGCTAAAAAGTATTCAACAAAGTGGTACAGGGGCATACCCTTGCTCTCAGCAGACAAGAGATGCTCCTTTGCCATTGCTGGGGCAACCCCCAGTGTCCTTGCAGCATCACTAGCACTTATGCCAGCTCGAAGAGCATCAGGCTTCATCACAAGCATTTTGATTTTTGTGAAAACCTAGACCAAACATTATTTAGTCATTTTAGTTTAATTTGATCACCTTCCATTTCAAAATGAGTAGAAATAAATGACAAAAACATAAACAAAGACTGACAACCTAAAAAAGAAGAAAAAATAATATTCCCATTATGTCCAATATAAAAAGAAAAAAACAGTGCAGAAGATTGAAATTCTCAATCTAAAATATAATCCCATGTCAACGTAGTTATGTAGCAACCTATTACAGGTAGATTATAAACACGTCATACCCAAAGAAATTTATATGGCAGATGTTTTTTAGAAATCAGATAATATATAGAAATAAATATAATTTGGTCGCAATTGTATAGACCACTACAGATAAAATAGCTTCTCAAAAGTCAAAACTAAGAATGGGAGATCCATAGTTCAATGCTGGACTAAAAAATTAACATGATGAGTCGATGACATGTTTGGTAAATTAAAATAGTTGAATTACTTTATGAATAAGTAATTAGAAAGAGCAAAAGTCCCTTGCAAAAACATATACCACCAATCAAACTAGAGAAAAGGCCAGATTTACGCAAGAAGAACTATTTCATCATCTCATGCCAAACTTTTTTCTTTTAAAATATTAAAGGGAAACAATATTCCAAAAATACAAGCAAAACAAAAAAGACACATCAAAGCATTTTGATAGAAACCTAGTATCTCATCAAGAAGAAATAGGGATAAACCCACAGCTCCACCCATTAGAGAGGATAGCACACAGAAATTAGCACCTCGGTTTTAAGGGCCATTCCAAATTGCAGCTAGGGTGGGGGAGTAGTCTCTTGCAAATTACAGTAGCCATATTCCTCTAAAATTCATCCGGTATTTCATGTATCACAATTGAAAAAAGGCTGTGGGGAATAATCTTGTCATTCCCACCTTGCCTGATGGCATGGATGCTGAAATGGGAGAGATGGTAAAAAGACTTGAATGGTTTGCTAGCTAGATGTTTAGAGTTTAAGTGTTGTCCTACTCCTATTTTCTTTTATGCTTTAGTTTTATGATGTGTTGCTTTTGTTTTGGTAAAAACTTATGCGACTTTATAACCTTTGAGTTGTCAAAGACCTTATGAATCCTAGTTGAAGTTTAATTAACTGTTTGGTGTGATTTAAGGGTTGTTTTATATATGTTATTTTTCATTCATATAGATATGTATTTAAATATAATTTTGCAATTTAGTTGACGCTTACGAGTCATGTTATGATCCACCAATCCTACAATCCAAGACACCCCCCCCCCCTTCTGCTCCAATCTTGAAAGAAAGCATGGGAAAGACACCATTCAACAGTTAATGCAGTGGAAAGGCAAATAAGTTGAAGAAGCTACTTGGGAAGATGATTGTTCCATGAGAAGCCAATTTCCCGCATTCAGTCTTGAGGACAAGACAGATGCTGAAGGAGGGGGCAATCATAGAGCCCAAGACCAGATGGATCAACTTTTGGGTCAACTCAATAAAGGCCCTAGCTTTTGGAGAGTGTATACTAGAAAGAAAAAAGGGACACGTGGCAGCCAACAGGCAGAGGAGGCAGTTATGCAAAAGGAAAATTCTGTTGCAGCTGTAATTAGGATTAAAAAAAGGAATCAATGGTGGTGGGAGTGTGTGAACAGAATTGAGAGAGTAACAGTCTTTCTACTTTCTAAATACTGAATTCTTAAGTTTCATTACCTTCCATGTCATCTACGGCTGTGTACCTTTCTTTAACTTATATTTACTGTTCTTTGGGGACTAGCTCCCATATTATCATCTGGTGGCTTCTCAAACCATGTAGCATTTGCTGATGCATGTACACCCTACAAATAAATTTATTTATTCTATTCTAAATCTGAGGGGCCTTACTACTCATTAGTTTAAACATATTAAGTTGCAACTAAACAACAAATCAAATTTGTCCAGTCTGATGGGAATGTGGTGTTTCACATTCAACCTCTCTTAATAATAAGGACCCCTAGCCTAGGTTGTCTGATTATAAATTCCTTAGGTCACTATAACAGTCACAAGCTTGACATTAGGTTCATCCAGTGTACTTGCCTAGGTAACTCTTCCACCCATAAGAGATACAAGTGTTTATCTCAAGATAGTAGGCTTTATATATCTCTAAGGATATCTGCTTCCATGTTTCATTTAAGTTTGGCAATTCCCCTTCTCTGTCTTTCCCCTACCCATTCCAACCTCTCCACCTCTTTTTTAATCTCTTATTACTCCTCTGCTTTCACTATCTACCACTTTGTTAAGTGCAGAAGAAAAAAAGCAGAAATGGATCTAAAGTGCGGGAGAAACTTACAAATGAAATAGAGGAAATGTATATGGCATTAATGGAGAATATAGTATCTGTATATTGTATATGAGTATGGTGATATATCAGAAATACAAAAATAACAACCCTCTCAATTCCCAGAACTGGGAGCCTTTGACTCTAGGCAACAAAATGCCTCCAATAATTATTTTTTCCCATAAGCAACTATTTTCTATTTCTACCTTCTATAACAGAACCGCTCACACCCTTGTGCCCACTCTTTTGATTCACTAATGGACTGGTATCACTATCACACTTCTTCCACCTCTCCATTGTATACCCAAAACAAAATCCTGTTTCTTCAGTAGATTTAACTTAATAGTGGCAAACCAAAACAACTGGACATGAAAATAACACCTTAAAAATATATTGATGAAGTTTAAATGTAGCAACCTCTTAGTTTATATGTAGCTCAGGGCTCATTCAACAAACACAAGCAGTATAAATACAAGCTATTCTACAACAATCCACCAACCTGATACCACAATTTCACAATTAGTGCATGGCACAAAATCCATATTATACCCACCACAAGACAAGGAGATTTCCCAGGTTAATAACAATATTAAAACCAAAAATAATAATAAAATTGACCAGACATGAAAAGATAAATTGAGCTTACCTCCTCATCACTGTGAGACTTAGTCTGTATTACCATGACTCCACTATCAAACTTTCGCAGAACCACTGGGCTGAAACAATTGAATAACATAATCAATTTATGGAAATACAACAAATCAAAAAAGGGATTGCATTCCAGCACTAAATAGGGTAGAATCCAAGGACTACGAATTAAAGTTGCCTACTCGCCATGTCTATACCATGACGGCATGACCATAATTTACCAAAACACAGTAACATATGTAATTAAAGTAATTAATGTAAGATAACGTCATACGTACACATCAAACTTCTCCCACAGAGAACATGCTTGCAACAAATCATCAGGTGAGATCAATTCTGTTCATCAATACAATCAAAACAAGGGAGTATTAATTAAAAAGAAAATGTATTACTTTGTGTTTAGATAACTACTTATTTAAGCAAATTATGTCATAAATTAAAGATGGAACTTATTAGAATAAGCTGAAAACAACTTATTTTGATAAGTTATACCAAGAAGCTTATTGAAATAAGTTGAAAATAGCTTATGAGAATTATAAGATGTTCATAAGCTCATCCAAACAGGACATTGAAAGAAAATCATGTCTATGGGAAAGTAGAGGACAGAGTATTGAAACCTGTGCCACGAGCACGATTGAAGAGACAATAAATATCAATAAGATTGATAATTCCCCCAGCTCTCTCAAGTGGAACTTTAACAAAATCTGCCAACTAAGTATGAGCATGGACAGATTAGATTAGATTAAAAAAATAGAAAACTAACAAAAGAGTGAAAGACAAACTGTCATGCAACAATTAATTAACTGCATAACATTTTAAAAAAAGATCACTATTTTTCCTATTACTTTTATTCAAGTGAGAAAAATGTATAAATGATATGCGCACAAAGCCTTAAGGTGTTAGCAAAATATCAAAACCACCTATTCATACCCCAAGAATGAGAGAGAATGAATGGGAGAGCTTTTTCTAGGTGCTTCTTGCACAACAATTGAGTCAAAAGACCACATCCACAATTGTACAATGCAAAGAAACAGATACACTGTCAATCTTTTGCATGCATCATGATTTCAAATTCAATCATAGCTTTATGTACATGAAGCAGTTCTTCTGTTTTTAATTAATCTATTATATTCTAATCTTCTGCAGGCTTTTCTCATGTTATCCCTTTTGGCTCGGTTTCTAGTGCTTTTACTTTCTTCCCCAACACCAGTTACTACTCCCACATCAATCCTTCATTGTCATCAACAAAGGCAACAAAAATTAATCTTCAACATAAGGTTCAATACTGCAATCATATTTTAGACATGAGTGCTTCATTATTCCCAGGACACTAGCAAAACTTAAATGTCCCAATGAGCTTTGTCTTTTATTTTTCAATTATTGAATTACATAAGTCATGAGAACTGCCTCCGCCCCCAACAAAAAAAGGAGGAATTGAAAGCTCCTTGATAAAAATCTTCAACTGTGAAATTGTTTAGATCAAATCAATCTTTTAAATGGTAAGACAAAAAGATCAATTCACAACAATAACAACAAAACCTTATCCCACTAAATGAAGTCGACTACATGAATCATACGATATCATTTGAAATGGTCATAAACCAAGTTTTCAAAAATATTATTCATCGTGAAATTTCTTTTAATGATTTTCTCTAAAGTTCTTTTTGGTGTCCCTCTACTCTTTCTCACAAAAAGATCATACAATCAACTCCCCTCATTGGTGCATCCAATGATCTTCTTTGCACATGTTCAAACCAACTTAACCAATTTTCTATCATCTTCTCCTCAATAGGTGTTTTTCTCGTAGGACTACTCTCACTTTTTTTTCACATAGACCCTTTAAAGTCTAACATTCACTACCACAAAAGATAGGTAGACATATAGCAATTCAATAAAATTTTCCTTTTAGTTAAGGCAAAAAAGATCAATAATAATATCTTTCTTAAAAGCATGTCTTACAATTTGCACGATCTTTTGATTACTAAGAAAATAACGCATGATTGAGGAGGAGTAATAAGAGAACCTGACGAGATAGCTGTTGATGATACAAAGCACCTGCAGACTCTTTTGTAACAGGGGAGATGATACCAACACTCAATAACCAATCTTGCATCTCTTCCTTGGAACCCATATCATCATCATTAGTTGCATTAGTTTGAGAATTTGAACCAGACAAAAGTTTTAACCTCATTTTCTCTGCCAGCATCACCATCTCTTTAGCCTTGCTCTGCAAATCCAACATCAACCCAATGCTTAAGCTCATTTAGCTTGATACAAACCAAAAATAAAACCAGCTAAAGAATTGCAGCACAAAAATACTTTTAGATCTAACTACAATTGTCACGATCAAGAAGGAGAAGCTATAAGTGAACATCTGTGGGCACAGCATAAAGGTAAAACTCAGCTCACAGTTCAATTACAAAAATAGCATAAAATTATATTTATTGGAACATGGATCATTTGCCTTAGTGGTCCCTCATCAATCAAATCAAGTGATGTTTTCTTTCAATAAACTAAGCTAAAATGAGAAGGAAACATATTTTCCGCATATTATTCATACATAAATTGACACTGCCTAGTACAAATAAAGTAAAATTTCAAAAATCTGCATGATTAGGTTGCAGGGATTATATGGTTTAGGATACCTTCACCTGCATCGTAAACATGCAGCTTATGTCTGCAAATATAGCAACCAACCACCACCCAACATTTCCTCTTAGCTCATAGACCAAGCAAGTCATGATTGCCATAAAGATTTGAAAAACTGATGCACTTGTGAACTCTAAACAAAACCCTATCAAGCAATAACTACAGATTACAGCTTCGTCAACTACACCTTTTGGGAAACAGAATCCAATTTAACACAATCCATCAATGTCATCCTCTTTCACCAATAGCTCAAAGGAAAATGCTGAATGGCATATGTATTTCATGAATATGATACACGTGAAAGTAAAAATTTTCTCTTTCATAAAACAAATTTTCTTCCCCCACTCATATTTCCAATCTCTCTTGATGAGTTAAACAGTCGTTCAAAACACTTTTCATGAAAGTCATTCCTTACAAATACCATTGCTACTCAAAATAACCCTCATTTGGTCCAACAAGCAAAAAAATTACCAAAATATCAAATAATATCATTTTCATGCGATCAGGGCAGACACAAATAAACACAACGGTTACTTTGTTTAAACATAAAATAATTGACACAATACATGACAACATATATGATGATGTTTGGTAACAAGTTTACATTTCTCAAAACACGTTAAGTTAAAAAATTTATACTGAGTTCTACTACAAACTTACTTTTAAGTGGAAAATTTTCAAACATTAATCATATCAATTTAAAAGTACTTTTAAGGAAAATCAATTCTACAAAATCATTCAAACTCTAGTTAGCAAAGGCTCCCCCAAATGCGCACTCTCTCAAAATTAAAGCACACAATAAAAGTTGTCCCATTCCAGTTGTAGAAAAGACAACTCTGCAATCACATTACCATACCATTAGAGCATTCAAATCCTGAAAAGCCTCCTGCAAGCTCCTATCAGTACTCTCCCACATTTCCTGCTCCTTCCTCAATATCCCCGACACTCCCACCATCCTTACTGTCCCATCACCCGAATAAATCCCGCTTGACGATGCCACCGTCGTCCCCGTTGCTGCATTCGAACCAGAACTCGAACCACTCTCCGCCTCCTCCCACGCCCTGGCGCGCCAATTTTCCCAAAATTTTGCCAAAAATGCATCGCAATCCCCCTTCCCGCGCACCACGATTGTAGCCACCACCGATCGAGATCCCAAAGCTGAAATCCTACCATCCGGCGACAGGGACACCTGGAACCGAACCCGCGGGGACGCGAACACGGACCTGAGGGACTTCTTGTGAGAGAAAATGTGGGAGACTGCGGCGAGGGGCACGGCGGAGGCGGAGCCTCCGGAGGATTCCGGCAGCCAGAGGAGGCGGCACGTGGTGAGGATGAGGAGACCGGATTTGAGGTGAGGGAAGCTAGTGTTGGGATCGTCTTCGCAGAGAAGGTCCACGCCGGAGAGGAAGAAGCATTCGATTTCGTTCGATTCAAGCACCGGACGGCCGCTGCCGGTGAGCTTCACCGACTGCAAGCAGTTCCCGGCCATCGGCGAGTCGCACCGTTCGACGTCTTTTTTTCTTGTTACAGCATAGACTCCCCTTCAAAGTCACGGCATAATCTACTTGCACAATTTACCTTCCTTTTTCTTGGGACAAAAAGAAACTATTTAAAAAATTAATAATTTTATTAAAAATATTAAATAATATACAATTTTTAAAAAAAATTAGTAAAATTTATTTTTTTACTTCTATAAATAATGTCCTAAAATATTAACAAGGATATTGACTAATATTTTATGTAAAAAAATTCTTATATAATTTAGCCTTTTATTTTTAATTTTTTTATAACAAATGTTTAAAAATTGTTTAGATTTATTAATTAAAGAGAGATAATTTTTAAAGCAATTTTACATTTTATTTGATAGAGTTTGCTTTTTTATATAAAATTAGACTTTTCAATTATCCCTATGTCCTTTGAAGATAAACTCATGATATTAAGGTTCTACTAAAAATGCTTTCACAAAAATGTTACTAAAAAAAGGACCTGTTTGAATTGAGTTAGAATGTTAAAATTTAATTTACTCAAAAGTCTTAGTTACAAATTTAATAATATCTAAATATAGTGTCATTATGTATACATGCTTTGATTATCAAGTTTTTGAAAAAAAAAACTATGAAAAATTAAAACAAACATGAGAACTATTAAGAAGTTTTAATATCATAGATATCAACAATAGATTCTATATCAATAAAATCATACAAAGATTATTAATAACTAACTTTAGATGATTTGACCATTATTTGTATTAGATTTTTAAGTTAAAACTTATTTATCACTTCATCTATAAGTATTCTTATTAAGATCAATATTAGGATCATAAATGATGAGAAAGAAAGATTTATTATTATTTGTGTTGAAATTGATATCAATCTTCTTATCATTAGTAAAGTTTAGTTGTAGAATCATTGACATAGAATATGAAAATTTACAAATTAATCATTCCAATTATGGTTGTTATAGACACCACTCTCGCTCTTGTTTAGCCAAAACTACTTTGCCTAAGGATGGTATTACAGCTCCATCGGTAGCTCATCATTAATCCTGGTAAATGTTAATTATGAAAAAGAAAATTTGTGAATAATTTATAAAAAATTAAAGCCCACATATGGAACCTGGTTAATCGCCCATATAGAAGAGGACAAATAAAAACAATGTGTCAAAAAATAAAAAATAAGGTAAAAGATCATGAACAACTTTTGCATAGAAATTGTTTTCATGTTCTTAAAGAAAATGTTATAAAAGTTATCACAACTAGTAGCACATGACAAATATGTTTTTGTAAAAGAAACATTAGCAAAATCTTCCTCAAATTGTATGTTAAAGTTAGATAATCTCAAGATAAAACTCCTTGACCTTGATCTAATTTTCATCTTTTATCTTAGTCCTCATATTTTGAGGTGATTATAACTACTATTTTTCTTTGGTTGTTGTTTTTTTTTATAGTTTGAGATCTTATCAACCTGCCTAATTGTCTACTTTTCTTTTGTAATGTTTACAATTTTGATGAAAAGTTAGTGAAAAATCTATTGTTTGAATGTTTATAATGTTTTTTTTTTGTTTATAATTATGTTTATATATGAAAAGTTACTTGATGTTGGTCAATTTGGGAGGGAAATGTAATGGAATAATGATATTGTATTGTTCCATTCTATTTAATATGGTGTCTGTGTAAATATAATGACTTCTATGTGCAATATGCTTTCCATTTGAATTTTCAGACTAATTTTGGCCCAAATAACTTTATATTGGGAACTTATTAATTATTCAATATACTTGTGACAATTAGATGATACATGTTACAAGAACATTATGGACTTAAAAAGTTACTTTTCAATTCTATTGAAAGCTTATTGTTCTTCCTATAAAAGTATAAATAAATTTATTAATATTTATAAAATTTAAAAAAAGGTACGAAGGTTTAAGAAATTTAAAAAAATTAAGAGCTAAAACATACAATTTGTAAATAACAACATTTTTTACAATAATTTTTTATTTTAAATTTTTTTAATGATTTTACTATTAAATTATCATTAAACTTTCATAACATAACTAAAAATATCTTTATACATTATAAAATTAAGTATGACCATTTTTTTTTGTTTATATATATATATATATATATATATATATATATATATATATATATCTTAAATACTTAACAATCATTGTTAGGTTATTAACATTAATACATATGTAAGAAATGTTAATTTTTATTGACATATCATATTAAATGATATGTGTAATACTAACATTACCTTAAAACCATAATTCTAAAGGTGATATTGGATCACTTTCCTACCAAAAGCAAAAAAGAATCTCTTCATGTAAAACTTGAAGGTCCTAACACCAAAAGTCCATATATCTCTTAAATATGTGTCTCTGAAATTAGCTCCCACCAAAGTTAAGGAGATAGTTTACACATACAAGGCTATATCTTCCATGTTGATAGACACTAAAGAAGTAGTAAACAACAATGTTTTTATTAAATGAGATAATAGTGAACAAGGAGATGATGGTGAAGGATCACGTGTATACAATAAGAAGAATAGAGTATTTGGGATAATTATTAAGTTAAGCTTAGGCTTGAGATAGTTGAAGAAAGTTGAATAGGGGATGTTGAAGAGTGTGTCAAGGGATTCATCCATGTTTTCAATTTTTCATAATAGTTCTAGGATTTTTTGGAGGAAGGAAATGTCTTTTATGCAAATGCAAAGGTTAGTCACTAAAATTCTATAGCAATTCATTATGGTTTTAGCAGTGGAAGATAGAGTGGACAGTCCTTGAAGTTGGAGGTTGAAGTTTGTTGTTTTAGGACCATGTTAATATCGCAAATGTCATGTTAAGCAAAAATTAACAATTTTTACATGTTTGTTAACATTGAAAACTAATTTGTAAGTTTACTCTTAGTTTACATGTAATTTATTTTTTTATTTCTCACATTTAGTCAATTTAGTTTTTGTTATTCTAAAATTTTATCAAAAAATTAACCAAAATAATATAAATATATTATACATTATTTATTTTATGCAAATTTAGTAAGGAAAAAATAACAATAAATATACAAATATTTTATCATATTATTTATTTATTTAAATATTGTATATTTTTATTAATTTATATAAATCAATAATGTCAGACTTCTAATTGTTAGATAAAATTTAGAGTTAGAAACTTAATTTGAAAAATTTTAAAAATGAAATTTAATAAATTGAAATTAAAAACACTAAAATTGGATATAAATTAAAGTATAAAAACTAAAAATGCTATTAACCCTTTTATTATGGTACTCTCTCTTATGCGCATGGATTTGAAAGAATATTTTATATCCTTTTTAGATAAATGGCTAAGATATATTTATATTTATTAATAATTAAGTTAATATTTTAATATTTATTTTTTAAAATTTTTTAATATAAAAAGATATTTTAGAACAAAAGAGGTCTCCTTTAATCTTTAATTGCTAATACGCTTGTGATATCTATGTCGTTTGTTGGTTCTACAAAATATGTTTTATAATTCCTTTCTTGTAATCTTTTAACTAGAATTTGTAATTCCTCTTTTATAATCTTCTAAACTATCAACTTAAAAAATATCTTTTTAGTTTCACCTCTTTATATTTATTCCCTAGCCAAAAACAAAATTATTCTTTCTATAGAGTAAGACTAACCTTATTTTCTAATTGGTTGAGGCACATTGTTACTTCTATCTATATTTCACATATAACCTTGGCTAAAGGATACTTCCATCAAAGTCTTGTTACCTTTACCATGTGCTATTTTGGTGCATTATACTCGAAGAGACAAGAAACGAAGAAAATAATCAAATTTTGTGAAAAAAAGGTGAGACAACGTTAAGAATTTAGGAAACATTTCTCACTTGTAGCTACTCACAATTACAATTTATCTTACTTTTTATTTCATCATAAACCCCCCAAAAATAAATAGATAAAACATGTAAAGAGTGGAGATAAAGTTAAAATCTTAAATTTGATTTGAGATTTTTAAAAAAAGTTATCAAGATAATAAATTTTTTATATTTTAAATTAAAAAATCATTTTAAAAAAATAATAATAATAAATATTTCTAAGAATTGACGAGTAAATAATTTTTTTAAACTTTAATAAAAAATTAAATTTAGTACCCTTAAAAGGATACTACATGCCTTTAAATGACCTAGATATGATTATTACTCATCCTCATTGTAAATTCATGTTTATGGTTTAAGGTTTAGGATTTAAAAAATAAGTAAAGTATAAAAATAATGTTTAATACAAAAAAAAATTAAAGCTCAATTAAATCAGAACTAAAAGATTTAAATAAAACAAATTAAAGAAAAAATAAAAAAAAAATTAAAATTGATTCTTCTCATCTGAGAACTAATTTAAAAATTTTTAATTGTGTAAAGATTAAATTTTAAATTTGTTTATATAGAGATCAAATTAAAAAAATGTGTCAAATATAAAAATTAAATTTTTAATTTAACTTATATTTCTTGTGTTAAATTAAAGATGAATAATTGCTAAAAATTTTAACTAAAAATATATATTATTTATTATAAATTTTATAAATATAAACATAAATATTACAAAAAAATTTAAAATTTATATAAGGTAAGAAAAAATTACAAATATGCACAAAAAATTTTAATGTTTATTTAAGATAATAAAATAAATTTTATAAACATAAATATATGTATTTATGAAAATTCTAAAAATTATTAGATAAGGTAATAAGAGAATTATTTCTACCATTTAAAATGAAATTAACAAAAAATAAGTAAATATTATAACTAAAAACATTCTAATCCATACATAATATTTTTAATTTTAATTTAAAAAATCTATTTAACTAATTGTGAAAGATAATAATATCACTAGATAAAAAATAATTTTTTTAAAAAATAATTTATGATAATAAAGTTTTAGGTTTTCCCTTAGGCTCCAAGATTCTTTTTTTTTTCTTTTCAAGAAAGGGAGAGAGAGTAGTACTCCTAGGGTTTCTCACCGTAGCCACTTGAGAAATCTCTAAGGGCTTCCGTGCTCTGAGAGAAGCCAAGTCTTGCCAAGATTGAGAGCTCCT